TTGTTACTACAAGCGATGCACTTGTTACTACTAGCGTGGCACTTGTTCCTAGTAGCTTCTTGTTCTTAGCAGTAAGGCCAAGAGTCCCTAGTAGTGTCTTTGCTCGTAGTAGCGATGCCAGGAGCCCTAGTAACCTAGTAGCTTCTTGTTCCTAGTACTGGCATGTTCTAGCTACATGGGTGTGGTTGTGTATGAGGTCCTTGGTGTGATAGTGTTATATTCCTTGCATGGAGTGTTTGGGGAACTTTATGTGCCAAATCATGATGTGGCACTTTCTGTGAATCATTCAGCATGAACGAAGAACAAGCCCCACATGAACAGTAGCAACGTAGCAACGCACGAAGCCAGCATTTTTGGCAGCCGTTTGGAAGCTTTTTGGCTACCGGCCTTTCATCCTCATGCATCCAGACACAAACTGAGTAATCTCAATCTCTCGCTGGTTGGTCATCACCATCAAATTCCTCACTGCAGTGTGCTGTGAGTGTTTGGGTGATGAATTTTGGCATGTCATTTCGAGTGGGTCCAGTGATGGTTTTTGTGGCCTGTGTCTGACAGGCTTTATGTCCACTCAAAGCAGTGGAGCGGGACTTTAAGATATGTTCAAAGCCGCACCTGATTGGCATTGGGCTATGAGCTCCTCCACCTGGGACCTCTTTTCTTGACTCCGTGAACAAAGTGGAACTCCGAGGGATCGAGCACTTGCACACATGGTCTTTGTGCAGATTTTGACCCACACCCACTTGATTTCATTGATTTCAGTCTCCAGTGACAGTCCCTCTGGAAAAAGGGGAGAGTTGACTTGCACAGGTCCGATTACAATGCTTGACAGTGCAGCTTCGCCCTATATTTCGCCTTTCTCTACAACATGCTTCTTACTCAACCATTTCAACCTGTGGGAATAAGCAACTTGTTTGCACACCTTTGCACTCTGTATACCCGCCCAATGTGCTTGTTACGTCGCGCAACGTCTGCTCCGCGTTTGTTTTGATCTGGCGGAGGTGAAACAGCAGTGATGGATATCCTACGGCGACTTGGATATCCACTGCAACCAGAGCACTTGAAGAACTTTTTGGAGTCAAAAATGTCCAAACCCAAAGACGCCATATTTCGATAGCCATTCTCCTTAGCAGACTCTTTGCCTGTAGATGATGATGTATCATACCATGTGGTGCAAACCATGTGCAGCACGACTGGCCATAAAGCATGCACGACCTGTCTCGGGACGAGCACTTGAAACTTGAGGGTATCTGATGTAGCAAAAATTTAAACAATCAGTTTGCATTATTGCCAACTAAAATTATGTAGGCAAAGACACGAGAGTCAAGTGCTTTCCTTGCAAAACAGTGGTGCCATGTGTATCAATGGATGATAATGAGATTTGTGCCAAAGGGTATTTTCTTTGGTGTCCATCTGCATCCTTGCAAGGCCAAGTAACATAGTGGAGAAAGGCATGAAACTCAGGCCAGGAAATCTGGCGCAAATAGCGCAAAAGCGGGCATGCTCAAAAACAGGAAGCAGGAGCAGCAAGTGCTTATATAATAGGTACAGCACAATGCTTGGATCTAACAAATCCTCTAAGATGTCTAAAGGCAAAGCCCGATATTGGTCAAAACATGCAAGTCAATTCCCATGCGGGTGTAGACTCAAAATAGCCACCTGAAAGGTTCCCAGTGACTACTCACGACTCACTACTGTGTTCATCTAGCCAAAGGTGAAGAGCAAGCTCCCGACATCCCTGGGCTTTAAATGGAAGCGGATGGCATGGTCCCTTGGAAGGACTAGTTTCCTTTACGAACAGCAGGGTTTCCACTTCCATGTCTATCTATCTATTTATCTATCTATCTATATATCTAAGGGCCTCTAAGCATACCATGGGCATCCTTCGGGGCTCCCAGGCCTTACCATCTCCATCCGCATCAATAAGGCGGCAGGTGTCCCGCAAGCGCTCAGCCTAGCAGCGGCAGGATGAATCAAAGAACACATCTCGAACTGCTTCGAGGTACTGGAAATGCAGGTCTTTCCGATATCGCCCAGATATACATACTTAATTTTTATCTGGGGCTTATTTTTTCCTATTCACATCTGCCACTAGCATTTTATAATTATATGTCTTTTTTTTGTGGCTTCCCAGAGGATACAAGAACTAACATATCATATGATATACCTAGAACCCATTTGACCTTTGTTTTGATAGGGAAAGACCATGTTTGGGCTCCAAAACAGGTGTCAATCATGTTCTAGGTATATATAGAGAGAGACATGTATGTATGTATCATGTATGATCAAATCTATGTGTACTGAGAAGCTCCATGAAAAATCTATGGTGGTCTAATTATTTGGCATCAAAAATGCTGACCTGATCTTGTCCTGCGCAATTAAAACAAAAGTTTGCTCTGCTCACTCTGCTCAGAACTCCATGCAACCACCCAACTTTGCATGTTGTTTGCTTTGGTAATTAGAACTAAACAAGTGAGACGTAACATGGCACGGTCCCACCTCTGTCCGCTCCTTCTTCTTCTGCTCTGCTAGAGCGAGCTCCCGATCTGCAGCGGAAACCTGCCCGTTACGGGGCCGCAAAGGAGACTTAGCAGACCGCACTTCTCAAGCAAAGCTGTGTCATGAGTCATAGATAAACACCACATAGCTACTCAGTAAATATGTCTATGATTGACAAACACCATAATTATATCTATATACAGTCGTATACAGTCATATGTAATGGTATTCTATGTGCATGATCATGCATGTCTATGCTACCATATGTGAAACAACCGCCTGTGCCGATGGTATGATAAAATGGCTCCTGTGCAGGAGCAAAGCTGCCCGCCTTCATGGCATGATCAACAAATACACCTGGCGGTTGAGGTCCGTGAGTAGTGTCGTCTATTGGTGACCCATTGGATGGTCCAGGTACACTGCAGGCGTCGTTTCAATGCTACAGTGGCTGCACATGTTGAGGTAACAAATACATAGCAGTGCTGTGCTAGTAAAAAGGCCCTTGCCTGTTAGCACGTTGAAAACCGCGAACTCAAAGAAGGCTACCTCAAAGCGGCACCGGTATCAGCGTCATCACCAAGCCCGCAAAGCGTTGGACATTCAATCCTCCATGGTGGCTTCTGTTAGGAGGGCTCCAGTCTCCAGAAGCACCCAAGCGCGTGCATCGAATGCCTGCCTCTTTTTGTAGGAGGTGAATCTTTATTACATATTACATAACATCTTTACAGGATATTCGACTGTAAGTTGAGAACCACCTTGTTTCTGAGTTCTGGCGCTGTAAAGGTTGATACACCTTGAAAATTGAGACATGTTGAGACCACAGTGGTGAAGGTTGTGTGTAACGTCTTCGGCAGTCGGGTCATTATCATCTCCTTTGGACTCGGCTCCTTTGGACTGGATGTTTTAGGCAAACATGCCCAAGTCCCGTTTCCAAGGGCATCGACCAGACCTAGAAGAGTCCTTGTCCAAGGTGTCCAACGACACGCATTTTAGTAACCAGCTGCGATCCGCATCAACCGACGCTTCAACAAGGCAATGACCATCACTGAATATTTCGGAGAAATCTTGGATTGATTGGATTGCACGTTGTAACGATTCACTGGGTTTTATCTTGGCCATACAAAGAGTCAAGGCACGTATGCCAGAAAAGCAGCGCAGCTGAGTTCGCCGCTAGCGGCCTGAACGCAGAAGGCTGATCGGAATTCGTAACGACGTCGATCTTTTGCAGCGGTTGCTACTGGAGGCTGTTTCTCTCAGGTGTTCAGAGTCCAATATTAATGAGGTAATTTTTTTGCGCACGACATGGGTGGTCTCAAAGTCCCCCAAAAGCTTCGAAGCCCTCGAGAATGCTACCGAGACCCGCCCTCCGCCCCTTCCGCCCCGCTTCAGTGCGCTTCACACGACCCTCACCGAGGCACGAGAATCTCATAGGGCACCCGCCAGTCAACACCCCCAGTGGTAGCCATGTACAAGGTGGCCATGGTGGTTTCTACCTCAGTTCCGATCTTTGGATATCCCTGGGGCGTTTTCAACTTTGGCGATATACATCACAGAAACATCGACGAAGCCAACTGTGAAGGGGCATTGACCTACATCGGGCCGGCTCGGGTCGAGAGGGGTTCACTCTATACAGTTCGTCTCAGTTTCACAGCAGGGAAACAATTCTATATATAATATATCAATAGTTGAGTTATAGTATATACACTATTATACTAGCCTCTGATGAGTAAGGACTTGTGCTTCTCACGAGTTGGGAGTTGCCTGTGTTAAATCTTTACACATGTAATTTGCACTGAGTCACCTATTTTCATTTTCCCAGGCGCAGGAGACATGAGAAAGGACTTAAGCCACTGTGCATAATAGCAACAACAAACAAGCCACTGCTACAAAATCAAGGACAGGCCGTCGCAACTGCTTGCATCTAAGAACAGCGATCATGGACCTCAACCTCCTTCAGCAGTTGTCTGGGAAGACCATTCCCGACTCGCTGAAAAGTCAATTTTGTATACATGATTCCTATTCTGTGATCTTGAAGCAAGAATGCAAAAGACTTCTTCTTTTTCCACCAGCGCCCCATTCTGTTTTCGTGGTGGGCGCTCGGGTATGCTTGTGCGAGTCGCTTGCTCCCCTACCCACCACAGGTCTGGGGTATTGGAAGGCAGTTGTACTGTCTTCCAGGAACCGCTTACTGGTGGTTCAGTCAAATCCCAAAAGGAATACAAGAACACGTTGAAACATTTTTCCTCTGGCAAATGTTCTTTGTTGGCGATGCCGTATGGTGTAGCTTATCGCCTATAGTTTTAGCTATGGGGGTGCTCCCGGTGCCGGGTCCCCCCCAAACGGGTTTGATACGAGGTCTGATGTTGTCTCCACTGGAATCACTCAAAGGTCCTTCAATTTTCCCTTGATCTTTCCTTAGCTTCCATGTTCAGAGCTGGAATAGAAATTAAGCGCCGTCAGATGTTTTTCACACATTTGTTACAAAAAACTCCAAACATCAAGGAAAGACAAGAATAAAGGAAGACCAGGAAACTGCAAACAACATAGAAATTAGCTAGTGTTTTTTGTTAATTCTCCTCTCCCCCCGTCTCTATGTCTATTCCCTTAACGGGTGAGCGGGCTCCGTCAGACCGATGTCGTTGGGGCCACCGGGGAGATCGGTGTTCATCGGCTGAAGCCTTTCGGATCTCTCGGTGTACGGGGCCGAGGCGTCACCGGGGTTCCCCCGGTAAGGGAATAGACACAGAGACAGGGGGAGAGGAGAAAAAGGTGCAGAACAAGTAGCTAGTATCCATTAATCTGTAGGGCATGTTCATGCCCCTGTACTTCTTCCATTATATATTCCATATTGCTTGCATCATATCACAGCCACTTGCCAGGCATATTCAAGCCTACTTCCCCTGAGCCTTGACATGCCAGCAACCCTGGACTACAGAATCAGGACCCTCAATATCATATCCTAAGAGCTTTGAAAGCTACGGTATCAAGGATCTCAGGCTATCCAAGGTCCCTGCTACAGAATCAAGACGCCCAAGCTCTGCTTGCATAAAATTAAGGACCCCAAGGTCAGCCACTACTTGACAAATCAAATTTCCATTGACAGAAACTCTGCACAGAATCAAGGCCCTCAAGCTCAAAAGGTGTGCGTACAAAATTGAAGACCCCAGGCAGCTAACCATCCAAGTCTGGGTAGCAACATGGGTCCTTACAAAATCAATGGAAATCTGGACACCCAGGGTCATGATTTCGTAAGGCTTATGATCACAGTGTATTTTATATATAATGTCACATGTCCCTGCTATGAAATGGGTCTATTCGGAATCTCCCACGACGTGCACAAATCGCTCGCGCAACACTCTGAAGAAGAACGGCTTCAGAACACCGGCTTTGGTTGTGTGTGAACAAGGAAGGAAGTGAAGGTCGGAATCAATCAATGTGCAGAATTGTTTAGTCAACCATACAAAGGCTCATTTGGATCACAGAGGTAATGAGGCTTGCTCCTAACTAGGCTTGGTGTTGATAGGAAAATGCGCTCCTCTCCAGGACTTCCTCGTATCTCGTCATGCAAGGAGAAACACACGCAAGATCTAAGCAAGGACGTCAGTCGAATATACTGGCCATGAAAGAGGGCACCTTGCGTTTGATACATTCTTCAGCTTGGTCACTGATCCGAAGTAGTTCTTGAACTCTCCCCTCATAACAGGGTCAATGTCCTCGCAGGGCCAACTGACGTGCAATGGGATCTGGTAAAGCTCCAACGTGGTTGGACAAAGGGAACAATGTGCACAAGAACAGTTTATGACATACAAAGTATGTCTTTTGCGGCCCGTTCTGAGTGTTACTATACCCAGTACATGAGCAACGATGAGTATGGGTTGAGACACTTGAAGCATTCGCAAGGCCCCTCTGAAAGGGGGAACGCCCCCCATACCACACCCACAGGCAACACGGAAGACTGACGTGCCTTGTTGCAGTTGCGTCAACACTCAGAAGCCGCAGCCGCGACACGTGATCTGGTTTGAATTGATCGGCTGATCCGGTATCTGATTCTGACAGTATCTGGAATCAAAGATCCGTCAATGTTCTATATAACAAAAGCAAAAGCTCGGACCACACGAAGGTATTTGATGTATTTCATTTGACCTTTAGCTCTCGATCGCTCTTGCTCTACAAAGCCAAAGAGACAGCATCGCATGGCCCAAGAAAACGACACTCACGCTTGTCCGGCTGAACGATGTATTCGGTCACCAGCCTTGGATTTGCAAACGCCTCTGAAATCTAAAAAACAGTTGGATGGAACAAACCAGCAAATCAAACTGAAGGTAGGTTGGTTCAACCCGCCCTCAAAGGGTGCAAAGAAGCAATGCCCTTCGACAATGCACAGTTCATTGCAATTCCATTCCAAGGCCTCCCAAGTCAAGTGCACACTTTCGATATCTTTCAAAAATGCATCCAAGGGACTGTACCAGAAGTAGCGAAAAGACCAGGATTACAAAGAAGATCAACACCAAACACCTGGGAGAGACGCTAAGGTTGCCCTCAGCACACCATCTTCCTTGAACACTTGCTTTGTTTCTATTAGGGCCTCCACCCTAGAGATGGTCCACCCTAGTAGCGATGGCCTCCAACCCAAAATTCATGTAGAATATAATCCTGATCAAACAAAACAATTTGCAAACACGCCTTCCTTTGAGGGCACGTTTCAGTACACAACATGACGCCACCAAAAACACTCAACCACCCGCGTTTCGTGGCTCCGCCACACGCAATTGCCGAAACCCTACACGCAATTCCCAATGCAATTCGCACGCAGATGCTCGCGCGCGCGCGCGCTGCACATGCATTGCTGATGCGGCACCAGAATAGGGAGCTGAAGGACCAAAGAATGGAGAAGAGCATACATCTCAAGTCTCGAAAGATCCGAATCACTCTCACCAGCCTGATTCAAGTGTCGACAAAGGCGAGATGCCACTGAAAACCTTTTTTCAAGTGACGAAGGCGGTGTGAGTTTCACATGTTTCTGCCACATATTTTTCAGCCACACGACAGGGAAAAAGAACACATGCATGAATAAGGGTTCCGACAAATCGGTAGGTAAATGTACCAGTGCTGGAAGTGATTTATGTGCAGCAAAAACTGAATGGACACAACTCGAGTCACAGTCCATGATGCTTGCTAGAAGAAGAAGAAGGAGGAGCATTGGACTGAGAAACGAATATGTTCGACATGTTGAGCCTGTAAACTTAGAACAAGGTCATCTGTCCACAAGGTAACTCCTATAAGAACATCGTCTCTGTGAGTACGTCATCGGTCACTTCGTCTGTTTTTTCTTCATCGGTGACTTGGCCTCGCCTCAAGATCCGCGAGACCTTCACAATACGCAGTGACCTGCCCGGCTGCCCAAGGGGCACAAGCAGCGACGCCGTTGACTTCAGAAGTTCTTGCAGGAGCCCCTACGCTTTCTGCTACTGCTCCTCTTGGAACTATATTATATGATATATATATATATACATACACTGTAAGTGTATACATATGGTCTTCGTGGATACCGTCATGCTCATTCCTCAAGCTTTGACCCATTCAAGTGTATATGTTTGGTCTTAAATGAATTGACACAATAAATTTTTGGCAACTGTACAATACTGTACATCTCAAGGCTGGCCCGGCAGACAAATCTGGCCTCATAAAATTCATGTTGGCATTGTATCCAGTGATATCTTCGGCCTGCCTCAAACGCAATGAATAGTGGAACTTGAACCCTTACAGAGTCCTCCACATTGCCACATCCGGTTCCCAACATGGAACAAACTTTAAACCATGAGAAAGTCATCAATGACAGCACGATATGACATGGACTGGCACCCGGTCGGCACCAGGTGGGTCGATACATCACTGCATCGACTGGACGTGAATCCCAAGCCATGGCGACAAGCCCTAGGCCCTAGCAGCCCTAGGGTCAAGAAACGACCAGCTAACCCTGGGAATACTTCCCGTTCTGCGACGGCAGAAGCTCTCAAACGCACCGTGGCTTGCTGGTGATAGGCACTTCTCGATTCGCTGAGACGAGAATGGTCCAAGGGGCCAAAAGAAGTAGACCACCTGGTCGTAGATTGCCAGCATCACCAGTAAGAGGTCAAATATGTTCCATGCTGACTCCTGACAAAGCACACACACAAGTGTTGTCACGTTAGGTGCCATGTGATGAGATATCATGCAGAAAAGTGAAGAATGGTGATGTGTATGGTGGTGTGTATTGCGGTGGTGTTGTACTTGGATGTATTTGCCGACTTGCGCGTTGTGAGGTGCAAGCTGTGATGTGATGTTGTGGTGTGGTGAAGTGCAATTTTGGAGGTGCAATCGTGAAGAGTCAATCATGTGTTGCTCCTAAACTTCAAACACTGCGTAGCGTAGCGCCTTGCAGGAGCTTGAATCCTTGCTGCCGCTGCTGGATTCTGGCAGTTGACTCTTGCTGCTATTGGGTCGACATTTCGTGTCAACTCCCGCCGGACCCAGAGCTTCGGCAAGCGTGAGGAACTCATGTTCGTCATGAATCAACACATATCAACACGAAATGCGCCATATACCACTAATCACGAAGTCAAAAACATCCGCTGAGATGGCACGTGTTGACTCCAAGAACCGGAAAGAATGTGTTTATTGTTGTTTTGTATTTTTATTCATAACATGTAACATAATCATAACGAAGTGTTCTTTCCAGATCTAGATCTTAAACCTGAACCTCTGATCGGCTTAGAATCGTTTAGAACCTCGACTGATCGGCTTCTGAAGCAACGTGTTCAGGGTTTCGTCTCTCGATCGCCCTGAGCAGCCTGGAGTTCTGGAGCCAGGTTGATGGGTCCCTTCTTCCTCCAAGAAGCTTCTTGTTTCAATTCGAATTAGATTTGAATTAATTCTAAGTCTTGTTTCTAATAGCTTCTTGTTACTAGTAGCGATGTCAGGAGCCCCTAGTAGCGTTCTTGCTCCTCTCCTAGTAGCGCCCTGAGCACCCTGAAGTTCTGGAGCCAGGTTGAGTGTCTGTTTTTTTGGGTCTCCCTCCAAGAAGCTCAAAGTCCCGAAGGGTTGAGCTGACCCTGACCCGACCCACCTCATTCCAAAAGAAGTATGCTCGATGTACAATCAGCTTCAAGGCAGATTCCACAAAGTATACAACACCTTAGCAAAGGCCCCGTTCGTAGCGTCCGATCGCTCCTAGTAGCGATGCCCTTTGCTCCTAGTAGCTTCTTGTTCCTAGTAGTAAGGCCAGGAGCTACTAGTAGGGTCCTTGCTCCTAGTAGCGATGCCCTTGTTCCTGGTGGCTTCTTGATGGCTTGGACTTAGTTTCGAGGAAGTGATGAGAGCCGTCACATCCACTGTTGCTGGATATTCCAAAACTCCATGAGTTGCACTGCAACTACAATTCATTCAAGGCACAAAATGCGATATCCAAGCCTGTAATTACCTTAGCTGCTTGGCTCACTTCCGGGTCCCAAGTTGAGAACACCTTGGAGGAAATCACAAACAAATGCAAGCCGAACAAAATGGATTGTCGTGGATTGTCCAAGTGTATGCGAACGGTCAACTATGGTTTTTAGATGCAACTTTGCAAGCTTGAACATCTTTGAAGACGCTCAGCTTAGTCTTGTATGCCCAAAGGCCCGAAGACACACACAAAACAACCAAGAAAGACAAGGGCTTTGCACTATTTTGCAATCTAAGCCTCGGCTGGCACCTGAAAATTTCCTTGTTCGATGGTGTAGTTGGCCGTGTAAAGGATCACAGCCACATTCCTTGCGCGTCGGTTTTTGGAATCAGTGGCAGGTGCCACGAAAGTGCAACAATGGTATCACAAACAAAGCACCCACCCACACAAAACCAGGCCGATTTGTCGATGCTTGGCATTCGTGGGAACGAAGCACACTTCATGATCCAAGAGGCGCCAGGATTGTAAGTGTGCATATGCTACCTGACAGGAGGGAATGGGGAAGCTGTCTCATGATTCACCAATTCAACGCGACGCTCAGCCGGACACCACACCCCAAACCGTCAAACGATGGACGCCCGGGTGACTGGATGGGGTAACCTATGACTCCAATGGAACAGGGGCCGTTCACCGAGTTCATGACCACAAATGGAGAGGGGCTTGTCAGTTTGCCTTGACTTGGCTGATGAAAAAATATGCCAAAATGCAGCCCCTCTCCATTGATGAGTTCATCAATGGGCTGGGGAGGGGCTCCTGTACCTTCATGTAGCATAATCTCATTCGAGTTGTTTCGATGCCGTTTTGCTCTCTTTCGCTTGAAAGCCGCGAAGCTTTTGACATCCGTTGACATGTTCTTTCCACATTCCCTTGGGGAAACTCTTGAAGGTTCTCAGGGAGGCCGCAGGCCGCTCAAAACCCTCGCAAGGGTTCGGAGAACGTGGCCCCTGTGACCTACAGTAGTATGGGCGGGCAGCAACTCTGAACATATTCTTATATATATATATAATGTAGATTAATACCATCTCTCTCACCTCTATGTCAAACTCTGTGGGAGGCTGTGGCAAGCGCTGTGCCAGTGCAAACAAGAAGCAAAAAAGGCTACTCTCCAAAATGTAGTTGCAGCAACCTTCTCTTTCCTGAGCATGAAACGACGCCAGCTGCTAGTCCGTCTGCGCTTGGGATGATGGGCCTCTGAACCCCAAAAAGCTTCTCATTCCAGGCCACTTCTGGCTCCTATCCCTTCCCTCTCTTGGGCTCGTGGCCTGATCTGGGTCTATCAGTCTACAGTATCTGAGTCCTCTTCCAGGCCTGAGTCCTAGCTGCACCGCACCAACGCGGCTTGGAACTCGAACCGTGCACCGCGGGTCTCGGGTCGTCTCGGGTCAACGGCTCTCATGGCCGACCTAAGGACCCCACTGGCTCTTCCAGACCTGAGTGGAAAACGAAGAGGTGGACAGCCACAAAAAGACGACGCGGTGTGTGTAGGACTTGAAGAACCAAGTAAGGGGCCCACGTACGCCATGTAGCATAGATCTTCAATGGGTTGATTGGTTGCTGGTGGTGGCTCATGTGGATATCTTGACTCAGGAATTGGCTGATATCACGAACATATAATACTAATGATCTATATAATTGTATCTTTGGTTGGGAAGCTGACCAAGAGTAGTATGCTTATGTTCATCAGAGCAATCCACCTCTGGCCACCGGTATGAAGTCTGCCATCATGATTGACACTCTTGATGCAGGTTGTATTTGGATGTACAGTATTTGGCACATCAGCGAACCAACTCAAAACCAAAATCCAGCAACATCCAGCAACTTGAAGGACAGGCATGGGAGGGCAGGTCATTCATCACCAAGCCCAGCTGAGCTTACTCATCATCGTTGCCTGAATCTTTGGCCCAGCGGCTTTTGGAGCCCAACAAATCTCCCAGGCCCTGATCCCGCGGTCTCGGGCGTCTCACTGCAAAGCCAATCCATGCAGCTGATGATGGATTTCAAGCACCTGCGAAAGGCATGGCTCGACCCCCGGTCGAATCGTCCGGTCGAATCCATTTTGGAACCGGAAAGCTGGAAAAGACCAGAAGGAGGAACGGAGGAACACGGAGGAACTTACCGACTGGGCTCCTGGCGACGTGAAAACCTCACCAAATTTGGTGCTTTTTTGTACATCGTCTGTTCGAAAAAACTTCCTTCAGCAGGTTGAGAACAAAAACTGACAGTGCACCGACTCTTCTCGACTGAGAGACATTCCCAGATTTCCTTGCTCCATCTTGCTCGTTTGATGGTTTTCGCCCGAGCAGGAACTGGCCTTTTGCCACAGGGCAACTGGCTGCACCACAAATGCAACCTGCCGGTCGTATGGGCGCAACATGGCGCAACCATGTGTCACCTTCTGCGAACTCATACGTGAAACTGGAGCTACACAAATTTGGTAAAACCAAAAGTCATACCCTCACACAAAGAACATCAAAGAACCATCAAATCCAAGCTAGATTGGACACAGTCAAACAAGTACATCATTGGATGGTATAAGTATATGATCTCAAAAATAAGGATACCATCCAAACTGACTAAGGAAAGAACAACATGCCTAAAACCTGCGGCTCCCTGGGTCTTCTCTTTGCTATGTACCGTGGAGACCACCTTTGTCAAGGAAATTATATATCTTTGTCATTGATGCGTGCACACAAAAATAGATTCTCCAATCAAGAACTTGCTTCGAAGTCTTGCGTTGCTTGGGGTGGGTGTGGGACATCGCAGTCTTTGCTACCCAAAAATAAAGGCTGCTTCCTCAACGAACTTGCTTCGGCAGGCTGGGGAATGGGAGGGATGGCGGGGGGGCATTGATCTCACACCCTGAAAGGGCGTCTTAGAGCAAGGTTCAAGTCACTATCAAGAGCAAAGAACATAGCCACTGGTGACGGGGTGAGGTAACCTATGGAACTATTGGCTAGAGTTGCTTCAATCGCAGCTGTGCTGGTCCCCGTCCTTTTGCTGCTCTTCATGCTGATCACAAGGCCTTCCAAAGCCGAAGTCCTGGTGTAAAACGACAGGCCAAATCATCTGATAATGAAAAAACAATACACTCTGACGAACACATCACATGGAAGTAGAAAATGGGCCCCAAACAGAAGACTACTTTCCTCTACGAACAGGCCAAAACAGGCCATGTTCCACTTGCATGTGATGTGTTCGTCAGTGCAATCGAACCTAAATTCATGGAATTCATGTGCAAGGTCGCTGCATGCAGAGATGAGACTGCTTCCTCGAATTTAGCTACAAAGTTGGGAGAGTGAGCCTGTCAATGTACCGGGAAATACAGAACTGATTTGCCGAAGTATCAAAACCATCTGGCACTATTCCAGCACTGTGAGCGCGCCAGCAAGCAATGGCAAGAGCAAAGAGAACAGCCGAGGGGAACGGGGAAAACCATCCAACAGTATCCAGCAAACGTGTGTTTGTGGCCAGCACCCCAGCAATACTACTGCAGCATACTACTGCATATGATTTTTCCCCCGTAGGACGCTTGCTTCTGGGATCTTCTGGAGAAGTTAATGAGGGTAATTAGCTCAGGCCGAGGGAGTTGGAGCAATTTGATGTTTTCTTGCTTTCCATCCTATGACATCTGAACTGATGCTTCTGCTTCGGAGCTGCTGGCGCTGCCATCTGCTTGGCAAACAAAGCGACAAACACACAGCGGGACACGCGACATCACGAGACACGGGGTGAGTCAGGAGAAGATTTGTATAGAAGAGAAGAGACACAAACACAACATGTCTTGTTGAAACCTACTACAAACGATGGAATCTGATAGGAGCAATGAAAGAATTTGAAGAAACAACATTTGCATGCCACTGTACCTGCTGTACCCTGCCAGCTGTTCTGTGCTGCTATTGGAAGGAGCTCCCTTGCGTGCTTTGATCGGTTTTCAAGCTATCCCAGCTCAAAGCCATCTCTATGCAATTAACTGCTACAAGTGCCTCAAAGCCTTTCGTATTGTTATTAAATCCTCAAGTAGAACAACATATTGCTCGCACCGCCTCTCCTGCCCTCAAATTCCCGTACTGAATGAAGCTTGTCATCCTCTTCGCTGATAGAGCCTTAGTCGTTACCGGGCCTTGCAAGCATGGGCAAACATGTTGCTTCCCAATCTTAGCCACCAAGGCTAGATGAAAAGCAGCAGGTCAGAGGATAGCCTTACAGAGTCTAACAGGTACGGTATACTGTGCTGGCTTTGGTGAAGCTTTAGCAATAAAACAATTTTCTGATGAACATCCAGTACTTAAAGGCCTGTGTATAGGTTTCCGTTCGACATCGAAAGGTCGTTCGATCGAACTGACACAAGACAACATATGGGGAAGTCACAAAAAACACTACGTATATGTAAAAATATAATTCTGACTATAAGTTTAAGTTAGATGCAACATTGGACATACTCTTTCATTCCTTTAATGTTTCATCATGATCCACAGTAGGTCCCAAAGATCCAAGCCAAAATGTTGGGCTTTCGCCACTTAATCGCCCTGCTTATCCCCTGATATACATGGTCAGCAATATTCAGCCCCTCCAAGAACAAACACAAACACCTTCAAAAACACATCAACAAGCATGCATTTTCCAAAAAATTGGGATTTTGCATGCTGCCGCACTATAAACACGTTGATTCAAGACCGGCCCCTGCCAGGATGGTCACACATCTCCATATGGGTTGGATTGATCACATTCAACATGACCTGTCATTACCGAGCACTGCATGTCTTCCCTGTGTCTCCTTTGGACCAGAGCTCCTCCCTGTGCGAACCCGACACCGCGGGTTCGCAACGATGCGAACCCAAACACCACCGGACGCCGGCGTCCTTCGGATGGCCAAGGCGCTTTTCTTCCGACTGTGACGAACACTGTGAGTGCGATGCACGGGCATGGAGTCCTGCAAAACACGTCGTCCAAGTTCTGTGGCTCACTCTGTTGCTGCTGCGGCTCAGCGCAAAGGTGGCAAATTCCAACCACAATCAACCTATCAAATCTGGCTCTAAAAAAACATGATTCCGCCAAGGAAAGGAACCGGGACTGCTCAAAGAGCGCTGGGTGGCAAAGTTCATACAGCAGTCTAGTATCTACAATTATCTACAGTAGGACTAAGCCTGGCTAAGCAAACAACACAATGATTTAGAACAACCAGCAACATTTCAGCAACAAACAACATACAAGTCTACAAGTAGCTACTTGTCACTGACTACCTCTTGCAAATGATGTGTCCTCCTCCTCATGCTCGAACTGTTTCATGCGGAAAGCAGCTTCGGTGGCAAAATCTTCCGACACCAACATGTGTTCAGACCTGCCATATCACACGAGGTGATGCAAGAAGTAGATGATTCAGGCTTTGATTGGAAGTATTCTTCATTCTACACTAATTATACGTGACCAAACGTGTTTGCTGAATCTTGAGACATATTCCAAGAAGAAACCTCTGGTGACTCTGATGCCACCAGTAGAGTTCACAATCTGGAATCTTCACGACCGAAACACATGACAATTTGCTACTTGCCGTCACCAGCCATACTTTATACGTCTTACCACTGCCACAAATGGTGCCATTCAACGGTCTGCTTCGTATGGTGGCAAGCGCAGGGGTGGCAAAAAAATGAACCCTTCTTCGAATTGCGCGAATAGGAAGGGCAGGTGGCCGTTCAAACGACCAATTCCATCTTGGTGAGTCGGAGAGTATCGTATCCTACCAGGGGCCCTCAAAACCATGAACAATAAAGCAAAAAACATGATTTCTGCTAGGGAAAACCAGGTTTTTGATGGTTTGTGGGGCGCCCAAAAAAACAACATGGAATCTGCTGACGTGCGAGGTCACTACCGCGAGTAGGAACTGATGATGTCTCTTTGCACAAAGATGCTAGCCAAATCAAATATGGGTGGGAATTAGAATGGGGAGACCCCTTCATTAGTGCCACACCCATGTGGACCATACCCTTTAGCATTAAGGGAAATAACTAAGTACATGTCCATGCAAGAAATTATCTAATACATTTGAGCCACCCATGTCCAGCGCAATTCCAACCATGAAAAGAATATGTCCCATCGGCGCCTAAAGCGGCTGGCAGATGGTATAGGTGATGACAGGTCCTGCACTCATCCGGAGTCAACAGCTGGCGCATGCATGAATGTGTGCGTGTGCGTGTGCGTGTGCCTGTGCGTGTGCGTGCGGGTGCGTGTGCTTGTGCGTGTGCGTTCGCGTGCGCGTGTGCGTGTTTGTGCCTCTCTGTATCCAAGCTTAAATGAGAGTCATGTTAGATCGTATATCATCGTATATCATGTTGCGTCACACAGAACAAATCGTATATCATGTTGCGTCACACAGAATAAGCAACATACAAACCCCTTCTCTAGCATTGTCCACATTTTAAGAGGGATGACAGGTTGCCGAAGGTTTGAAAGCCAAGTTGACGCTTTATCCAAGCATATTCAATCTGCCGATCTACCAGAAAAAGAGAGACAGAGAGAGGGAAGGAGAGAAGTTGAACAGTTATGACCCATAAAACAATGGGATGGTGATTGAAGAAGTGGAGAAGGATATGTTTTTTCTTGTTTGTTTGCGCTGATGCTCTATGTTGAATGGGAAACTGTCAGACTGGGTCCTTTCCGGACCGCATGTCTTCTTGTGAGCCAATTTGGAGTGACATGAACTGGTATATAAAATAATGTTTTAGAGCGTGCATCCCCTGCCAAATGGATCCAAATGGTTATTACAGTTATACAAGAAAGATCTTTGTTTCGCTACACTCCTTGAAATACTCATGAGGTGGTTGCATGGCATGGCCTCGAGTTCGGATGACGCCCTCCGAAATACCCATTGAGGTGGTTTTCACTCCACGTCCTGATTCTTTCAGAGAGTGTCACTCGGGGAGTGTTTCAAAACGAAACAGCTGGGGACGGGTCGTGACCCACTTGGAGCCCCAAGGTAGGTCAACCAACAGTTCCAGGTCGTCTCTGACCTATGTCGAAGGGCCTACACTTGGGAGCTAGTGAAACGGAGGGCAAATATACATATTAATATATACCTAGCACTTCCAATGGGTGCCCTGTCTGGAGGCCTGCAAGCAAGGTAGGGTAGTGCAAGTCTCCTGGTTTGGACTAGTCCGAGCTCCGTACCCCGGCCGTACCCGGTACCCGGCCCTGTCTCCACTGTTACGGGGGGGTCCGAAGAGGCCAAGTGCTTCGGGGAAGGCAAAACGGAAGAAGGAGCCTCACGGAGAAGACGGCCGCCAGAGGCTCCAATGGTCTGGTACTAGTCATGTCAGTCACCTTCGTCCTTCCAAAACACCTTTCGGTAGTATTGGGAGTTTGAGAGAGTTTTCCCTTCCTTCAAACAGCGAGAGGAGCAAAAGAAACTGATTCAAAGACCGTCGACCTGCCTCAAAATGTCTCAAGAAACCGGTGATCTGGGAGTACAAAGACGTTGTCACATGATGGTCGAACGAGAGCGGCCAAAGAGGCTACACAGATGGATAGACGAGCAGCTCTTTGTCACGGAGAGAGGGCGACTCGCCACCAAACAAGTCAGAGATCATGTAAGGAACATTAAATAAGGAACAATAAGGGAACATAAGGATCATGAACCAAGGACATCCTAAGGATCATGTCTGGAACATTGACGACCAGATCTTCAAGTGTCTCACTCTTTAGGATCCGATCTTTCCTCCGATCCGATCCAGGTCCGTCCAGGTCCAGCCGTTCAAAAACATGGCACATGTAATTCAATGATTGAAACTCCTCAGGCTGAAACATGAGTTAATAACTAATTATTCCACATCACCATTCCACCCTGTGCTGTCAAAGGAAGAAACTGGTCAAAAGTGAAGGTCAGGGTCCCGTTCCGCTATGCTATGTGGGGTGGCGGAAGCACCTCGTTCATCTCCTACCCCAAACCTTTCATCCCCTTCAGCCCATGCTCTACTATGCGCCCTTTGGCCTTGGGAGTCACGGTGAGAAGTGAAGCGCGTGAGTCCAAACCTGGCAAGGCCACGAGGCCACGAGGCCACGAGGTCAAGTCATCTGCTCTTTTCCATGAGCCCCAAAACCAAAACAGCATCTGAATCAGTCTGGCACAAAAAGTCATGGCACTAAATCAAGCCGTTTCTTTTTTTTCCATGGCACCCTAGAATCCTTGCGCCGAAGGGCGCCAAATCCCAAGGGGCCACAGTCTAGGAGCCTTCGAGTTCGGGGGCTTCTTCCGTGCCTTGTTATCCACTCACTGGCTGGGACACCCCCAAAAAACCGCGACATTGAACTTTCGGCCTTTGATTTTGTTGATCAAGCTGCAAAGCACAAGAGACGTCTGTGGCGAGGTTGGGCTCTTTTCTATTCATGTGCCCAACGTGGTATGTAAGGGGTCACCAAGTGCGCAGCAGCGCGCAGTGGCATGAGATGAAAAAACGTCCTCACCGCCTGCGCTTGTTGTGCATCACGTGCATACAAAATAGATGATTATATAACTCCAGGACAACACATGCCCTCAAAAGAAAGGTGACTCGACGTTCATTTTTGTTCCTGTCAGGCTCCGCACTTCACCAAACAAGTCTCCTTTGCAAACATCAGGTGTCCTACCCATTGATGACTGGCCATCCCCTACCCATTGCACGAGGCATCCGCCTGGGTGTACGCCTGGGTAAGGCATCTGCGAGATCAGCTTCTCCACAAAGGCATCCTCGTTTCGGGACCATTGAACAACAGGAATGTGCCGGGTGTAAACTGCCAAGAAGAGTGCGACCTTCGAATTTACTATAATCATCCATTATCCGTATAGTTCCTACTACAAACCACTCCCCATGCAATTAAGAATATGTTGGAAACCCCTAAGTATAGTTCAGATTTGTACGTTGATTTACACTTTCTCAGTGCTACCATGCTCCCAAAGCAGTGTGTTTTTTTGAAAAGAACTGCTCAAAGTCAAGCCTGACACCTAGTGTCAATTCCCACCTGCTTTAGTTGAGATTTTTTGGAGAATGAAAGGACAAACTCCATCGATTTGCTGGATGCTTTCAGTGTTTGATACGCGTTAAACTGTCCTGGGTGACTTTTCGGTTTTGAAGCTCTTTTCAAGAACCCCTCGTGGCATGGCGCTTTGCACGCGTCTATGACAAAAAGCACCTTTTTTTGTGACCACTCATTCTGTGCTCCCCAAAAAGGGCCTTCCTAAGGCCTTCGGAATGGCAGAAGCACGGCGGGTTCCGTTCGTGCACGGCGACCGAGCCAGCGAACTGCGCCTGTTCCGCCTGTCGCTGTGCCATGAAGTTGGACCACTCCTGGCACGGTTGGTGGTTGAGGATGGCACGGTCGGTTCCGACCATGGTCTCCGCATGAAATTTCATGTTCACATAGGGGAGGGAGGTCACATGAGGTAACAAGATCAGTCTTAAATGGTCTGGGCTATGGGCCATGGTCCTTCCACTTTCCATGTTAGTCCGAGTGTATCAAAGGAATCGCTCCAACTTTTGCGCTTCCGTTGACTGTCTCAGTGTCCACATCGTGCCACTTTAAGATCAGTACTGAACATGTTCTTTGACCCTTGGTTGCCGCAAAAAGCTGATTCTCGTAATGTGCTTTCATGTTCCAAAGAATTATGTTCATTGAAAAGAAGATACGGCCTCCCTTGCTTGCTTGGTGGCACTCTTCCGTGGCTTTGCGCACATCGGATACCCAAACACGTCCACTGCGGTCCTCACGCAAGGAAACCCACTTACGACCTCAGATGAACGGTTATCTTCACGAAGCGATGCAGCAACAAAACCAATCCCTACAGCCCTACTCAAACTGCCAAGAGAAAGGCCTTACAGTCCAAAAACATCATGTTTGATGCCTTTAGCATCTGAGGCTCTGGATACACGAGTGCGGTTGAAAGCGACATCGTCTTGAATGATAGCCCAAGTGGGTTCATCATAAGGCTAATCTGGGACTTGGTCACAATAGTCGCTGGTTCGCATCAAGATCGTGGCTGTTTGCTAGCTGCTAGGTGCTTGTGGCTTTTAACAGAATTAATAAATAACGGACATAATATGTCGCATTATGTCGCACTGAACAATTATATACATACAGCAAGAAGAACCCAGTCTTGTTCCATGGTTCTGCAAAATAGCATTAAACAACTGCGAGCATGGTGGCTAAGTCACATCAATCGGATTATGTCACATCATCCCAATGGTACGGCCTGAAAAGTTGGAAGTCACATCAGGGGCCCGAAAGTCACATCAGAAAATGGACTTCTGCATGGCACAGCCACAAACAGCTACTATGAGGAGTTTTGTATGAACAACAGCAAACATTGCGCACAACAGTAAATCTGACACATTCTGACTTGTTCGAATGAAATTTGAAGGCAAATCACATTGGCACAGCCAGTATTGGACCTTTCCACATACTTTTTGGAAAAACGTAGCCCCTATTGGCACAAGCACAAGAAAATGCTCATGATTTCCCAAGGTAAGTCTCTGCACATCAGCACTTACTCCAGCGAACGGCCCAGGGACCAGGGTCCGATTATACCAACACAGCCACCTGAGCACTTGCGGCAACTGAAGAGCCTCTTCCCACCACTAAGGGAGACCTTGAGGCTAAGCCAACAAGTCAGTTGGCCGAGAACATGGTGAAACCGGTCAAAACCCCACCATTCAAAGCCGTCCCGACACCCGACGAACCGTCAGCGGATGAAACCCACACAAATATCGCCCAAAGCTGGCCCTGAGCGGGACCCCCCACGGAGCTCACGGGGCAAGGACGCGCGCTCCTCCTGGTGGTAAGGACGCGGTGGAGTGGAGCGTTGGGATGACCGAGAAGGAGGCTGGTAGAGAAGACCAGGCGACGATTTGACCGATATACCCAGCATGTCTTAAAAATAAAATTATTAGACAAAGGATGCTACCAGGCTGGTCGTGTTGATTCTGTGTTTTGACTTTTCAATAGAACGCCCTGGACTTTGAACAGCAGTGGCGACATCCCCTGCAAGTTTGGGGCAGAGATTCCCAAATCAAGAGATTCACCACAAAACAGTTCAGTGATCGCTTTATCATCGGAATTTGCACAAGTGACACAAACATGAGCACAGGGCTATGATATCATCTTGCTAAGCTCCTAACAGCTGGCTGTTTTGTTTAACTATACAGGAAACTGTCTCCGACACCACCTTGAACGGTGTTCATTGAATCTGCCAACCCATCTTCATTGAGCTTCTGAGTTCTTTCTTGCTAGGTTTGCGATGCATCCAGCCCACTGGTATCATCCTCCGGAAAAAAATAATGGAAACATTCCAGCCTCTGCAAAGTCAACCTTCACATGGCATCAAGAGTGTGCACAAGCGCTTCCCACCCCGAAGTCAAACACTTGTTTCTCTTTGAAGCTCAATCGGAAATCCTATCAATAGACTGGGTTAACACATTAGAACCTTCCCCAAACAAAGTCTTGCATGTTGCACATCTCCAGCCTGACTTTTGCGGGAGATTTCACCTGACGGCGACCGGTCTGAAGCAGGTTGACACCAGTCTTGGTGAGCGGGAGATGGTGACACAAATAGCTATTTCTATCTATTTCTATCTATTTCTACGGTTCTTTCTGACTCGACTCTTATATCAAGACCTCTAACAGTTGAGAACAACATATAGTCAATAGTAGATTAGTAGATGGGTTCGCTTTTTTTCCGCTTCAGGAAGGCAAATACCATGCAAAGTTCATTCGGATTCTTCTCCACAATGCCAACGACTTGGAGAGCAGTTTGTTCTCAATCAAGTGTTATCATGAGATCCTCCCAAAGTCCTCCCAAACTCCAGGACACAACACAGGATTGGTTGACCCACCCATGTCGTGTTTTTGTTGGTCGCTACATGGTGGATGACGCATCCAGCGCCTTCGGACTGCGGCATCGCTCCATCGCCCTCCATCGCTGGAGTCGGGAAGGTCGGACAAAAAGTCGAAGTTGCAAGACGGGGAGGTTGATCCTTTGGAGCTCCTCTTTTTTTTGGGGGGGGACGTGACCAACAAGGTCTTGACTTGATCATCCATGAGGTTTTGTCCATCAAGGGCAATGATCTTAAAGCATCTTAAACCTATCTGATAATCGATAGATCTTATGACTTTTACCATCTTTCACCTGTGACATGAAGAAGGGGCTTCATGAGTGCTATGTGTGTTATCTTCTACCTCGTGACCCAAAGCAATGCACACACCTTGCTGCTGTCATGGTGTTTTGTTTGATCATATTATGTTTATTCATGTTTAATCAATATCTCTGCTGCGGACAGGACCAGAGATGACCAGTGTCGAAGTGAACAACGATCAATAGCTAGGCAAAGTGACAGCTTAAGCTAGAATCAATGAATCAAAGCCAACGCACTCTGGACATCTCAATAATAAAAATCTATCATTTTCTGATATATCCCACAAGGTCCCCAAACCCGCGAATGGCATCAAATGGCACTCTTATGGCACTCTTTTATCTCACCCTTCTGGCCAAGCTGGCATCGGCCTACCTCGATTTTCGAGGCGAGCCGGCGAGGTCGATGATCGAACACATCCGAAGACCCCTTCGGAAGCACTCTCACCTTGAACCCACTGTGAATGCCAAAGACCAGTGTGCCATGTACATGCGAAACCCAAGTGTGCCAGAAGCTCTGCACCGGAGAAGGAAGGGTTTGTCATGGGCTTTTCCCCTTAAGATCCATCGAAACATCTCGTCGCTTCTCTGAATGGTGCTTTGCTTCCCAAGTGGCCAAGTCCAGGCACTGGAGAAAGCACATGATACGTTGACCAATGCTAAAGCCAGCTCCGCCGTTTGGCGATCTAGGAGCCGGTCGACAAAGACGAAGGAGCCCGCGGATCCTTTAATTAATAGCCACGGCTAGCCTCGAAATCGATCAGATCTCCATGATCCATTGGATGATCATGCATGATCTATTGTCTGAAGGCAATCCTTTGTCTTCCAACACTCAGCCTTGCTGAGCTGGGACTTGTGCCCTGCGAGACATCAAATCTGAGAACAAAAGACCTTTGCATCAGGTGTGGCTTTTGGTCTTTCTTTTGCCAGTTGTTGCAGCTGCATGTTCTTACCCTTGTTTGATCTGTTTGCACAGCGGCAGCGTGGCATTCGCTCCTGGCTTTCTGTTTGAAGAAAGGTTGCACCGTGGCGTTCCGGTTGTTGCTTCTCCATGTAGCAGAATGTTGTATATATAACTTTGACCAATATTAACCAATTACATATTCGTTTGTTCCTAGTAGCTTCTTGTTCCTAGTAGTATTGCCAGGAGATACTAGTACCTTCTTGCTCCGTTCGTAGCGATGCCCTTTGTTACTAACTTTGCTTTCTTCCGAACGGCGTGGCTGTCTGACCGAGTTGGATCCCCGATGGAGACTTTGCCCGTTGCCACCAGTCACCTCGGGTGTGCCGTCCGCGGTCCACTTGAGGGAATTGTGCCGGTGGGAGTCTGCACTTGCATACGGCATCCCTGTGTGTTAACGCTTGTTTGCGTATATTGGCAAAAACATCTCACCTCAAAAACCGTTCAAATCCTTTAGCAATGTCAAGAATGACATGCTTTCTGCAGTTTGCATCAGTTTGCTAGTTCGTGGCCTACTCTTTGAACCCAAAACGGAAAAACCATAAATCCCAATCAATACCAAAGTGGATGTCCACCAGCACAAACTCTCTTCTCTCCCCGCCCCGCCCCGCTCTCTTCACTTGCTCCATGTCGTCTGTGGGTCCCGGCGGCTGGAGGCTGTTGAGGATCCATTCCATAAATTCGGCCCCGGGCACCTCAAGGCGCACGAGGCGCTCCTCGCACCGCGACGGAACACACACGCAGCGGTCCGGAGACGTGCGACGGATCGACGGGCTACTGCGGAGAAGACCAATGGGTTTTGAGTGCTGGGGTGTCGGAATCATGAACGTCTCCTCGATCCACTGGTGTTCTTGGGGAAGGCACAGTATAGAAATATAGTAAAACCATGTGAAACAGAAGTGGAGAGTGGAGAGGGCGAGGTCACTTTTCAAAACACTTGGACATGGTTAACCATCAACAGGCAGGAGGCAGTACGCAGTAAAGCAGATTGGACTTTCGATTTCCATTCGCTCAGGCTCAAAGCCATGAACGTCCTCCAGCCAACTGCTTAATTGGATGATATTGAATGGGTCCATTATTCTTATGATATTTATGATCATCTTTAAGCATCAGCTCTGAGGTCCGCTTCTCCAGTCCATTGGTCCGCTGGGGAGCCCTTGCCATGCCACGCTCAGACTTCGGCGAGGCCTTGAGAAGTTGATTCACTTCCTGCCAAGCGAAGACAGCTTGCTTCGAGTAACGACCATCCGTCATGAGTGTCTCATCCGTACGGCCACACCACGTGACGGGCACATAAGAAGTTATATACGCATATTCTATAGAGCTCCATTCGATGGGCTGGCGTTTTTTTTGTTGCCCTTCTCCGCTTTCCTGGCTTTGTAGGGCTCGAACGCAATGAAATGCTTCATAAGCTGGCAGGGGTTGACTAAGCCACATTGAGCTAACCTATGCTTCTCCTAGTCATCGGTCATCACCTCCATGGATTACCCTCCCTCCAACAACCACGGAAGTGGATGGTATGGTCACTGGAAAGACCATTTCCTCGACAAACAGGCAAAGTCTTGTGTCTTTTCACGACCTGCTCCGTCAGCGTCGGGTCGATCTTCTGTAGGAACCTCCGCAGCTCCTGTCGCCCGAAACAAGGCGGTCGGTGGGTTCAGCCGGTCAAGGCGAAAAAAGCGGTCGGTGTTCCGAAGCATCACGACCAACATGCGTTCCGAACCGGAGCAAACGAACGAAGACACACAAATGACATCAAATGACATTCTGTTGAGCAAATGACATATCTGTTGAGAACACATGTTGAAAAAGCAGTTCGATGTGGAAAAAGCAGTTTGGGATTAGTTGGGTGGCGAAAGGGGTAGAGCAGCCGGGTGGGTGTGCAGCTTGGGGGAGAGCCTCCAGGCCCACTAGGTTTGGCCTTTTTGGGCCTTCATTGTTCCTTTTATTGGCCCTATATATATATAAATACCCATCTGATGGAAGAAAAGAACAAACCATGGGTTCAACTGAGAAGCTTCAGCCCTTGGTGTCATTGCTTGAACACTCTAGCAATAAATGGAATTGTAACTGGCATCATGTTGCAATGATGTGCAATGATGGTTTGTATAAATAGACTTATCTCCTACAATATAATATAAATATATAAATCAGCTTACTGGACAGGCAGGCATCCGACTGACTGATGGTGTCTCCTCAATTTTCAGGTTGCCGCTGAGGCCCAAATTGTCCATCGTCCTGATCAGGCTTCAAACGTGCCTTTTGGAACAAACACAATACAGCTATAAACAGCTATAGTATGTTTCTTTCTCAACTATATCTATTGAAACCATATTATATGATTTATAATTGTACATGTAGACTGTATAGTATAGCAATATATGTAATATACAGTCATCAAACGCCCTTGGTTCACCAGGCACGTCACTCAGACTCCCGGCCGCTGGACATTTTGCTTGGTCTTGGCCTCCAAGCAGGTGAAAACGGCCGGTTCACGGGCCGAGCACGTCTTGGGGTTTCTGCCAGGTGAAACCGTTGGCGCGTTTTCCTGAGCAACACCTGACTGAAGTCCACGGATGCAGCTTGATATGTCATGCTGCTTGAGCTCACGACCAGCAAGGTGTCCGCAATGGGTTTCACACCCAGCTTCTTGAAATCCTCCTGGGATCTTCGACACGGCGTCCGTTCACCGTGATTGGTTGAGGTCATTAGTCCGGTCCACTTGGTTCATTTGGAGCCCCGGGTCCCCGCGTCGCCGCCCCCCACCATGCCACTTCACCTCTCAGGCCTGAGACATTCAGAAAACCCCCAGAAAGACACTCAAGAAAAAATATATATAACAGAAACAAACACATGTCGTTCAATGATAATGATGTTTTTGAGTTGTGTTGATGTCCTTTTAGCTTTATCTTCTTTACAGTATTTCATAGAAATTCAATTCATTTCTAAACTCAACTCAAAAGCCTTTGGACCTTTGGTCTGCCCTGCTCCGAACTGCTCCGAACATGTTTCGTCGTCGCAGATTCGACGAACATCCCACCAAAGGTGGGTCGATGGATCCTTGAAATTGTATGCATGAGTGTCGCGAGTGCCCCGAGCTTCGAGTGAGCGTCTCTCCTGCATCTCTCGTTCTCCGTTGCTGGGCGCCAGCAGGAAGCGTGCGGCTGGAGCACCCAGTGCCTGCTGAAACACTAAGAGTTACAGTAGTTCACCCAGCAAGGCCCGAGCAAAAGATGCAGAACCAAAAGAATCCCCTTGGATCTTCTTGAGACGAGCAAAAGCGATTGTCTTGGGCTCCTGTCCTTTCAAGAGTTGCGGACATTGATCAACCTATGAGTACTATCAATAGAACCATCAGAATCAATCTAACAAGCTGCCATTAGCGGCTACAATCAAGGATCCACCACAGCCATCGATATTGAATACATGCTTACTTGTATGCCCTGACCATCAGCACATTCGCATCACATTTGGTGCCTCAACAGCCGCAGGGACATTTCCTGGCATGAGGCCAACAGCAAACCATCCTGAACCCGAAAAGTCAGCCCTGACATTTAGTTGATTACTCCAAAAGACTGTCAATTCAAACAATTGCAACCTCTGTACCACAGCGCTGATGCTTTACCGCACTGTCACTATCTTTTTTCATCAAGATCGCAAAAACAAAGGTTGTGTTGTGCCGCCACGAAGAGCCACCCTTGTTACTTGTAGCTTCTTGCTACTAGTAGCGATGGCCTCCAACCTAATAGCGATGGCCTCCACCTAGTAGCTTCTTGTTACTGATTCCAAAGTACTGATAACAGACTTGTCTGCTAAAGCTCCAAGTGACATGCTGATGCACTATAGCACTAGTCAACAGTGCCTTCACGTCTGCTTTTAGATATGCCCAAGTAACGAAATGTAGAGCACCCAAAAACCCTCATTCACAGCCCTGGACTCATTCTCAGCCCTGTGAATGTCCAAATCACTGGTTGAAATGACCCCTCCACAGAGCCCTCATGTAGTGTAGTGTGGGCAAAAACCAAACACCTGCACACAAGTACGCATCAAATCAACAAGTACATGCTGCAAGTGGCTGTCAACTCTTCCGTTAGTATCATCTTTTAGTGGTCGGGATCTAAAAACGGGGACGTGAAGCTTTAATGGAAGTGTTCACCGGTGCTCCGGAGGCTGGTCCTGTTTTCAGCGCCGATTTCATTTGCTCCTCACAATGATCGACCTGGAGGGAAGGTCACTGGACCGGGGTTCACCTCAGATTCTAGCCGATTCAAACGAAGCAGTTCAAATCTGTTCTGAAATATCGGGAAAAGGCTCTAAGTGGTTGTCCGCAACCAGGAACTGAATGCATGGAACTGCTGTAAGGAACTGAGCTGTTCCCCACTACCAGGATTCAATCTGCTGAAGTTGATCCAAACTTTCAGGACCATGTGGTATGCCAATTGGCAAGCCTAGTATGTATTTCACAAACATGTGCAACAAGTCATCTTCACAGCCATCTTCGTTAAACAAGTTACCTGCGCACCACATCCCACCCCCGGTCTTCCGCGCTGCGCAGGGTCTGCCGCACCGCGTGATGTCGCACGGCAGCCGGGTGCACCGGACATCAAGGAGTTCGTCCGTGATGAAGGTCAACTGAGCTGGTTTCTCCAACAACATGTCCTGAGGAAGGGTGAAACAAGTGAAAATGATGTCCAGTCGTCGGCAGAATGATGGAACAGGATTTAATTTGGAGACACCATGTTTTATCCAATAATTAGCCACGCATGGGGCTTACAAGTCCCGCTGGCCCCTCCTGCAAGAGAAGAATAAATTTGTAAGTTGTTGGTCAAATCATTTTCGGACCGGAATGATTCGAGATTCTTTCGTGGAGAAGCAATGTCACTCCTCCAGAATATATAGAACGCAATGCTTAGGGAACTTGGACTTGGAAACCTGCCTTCTCCCAAGGGGATAGGAGCCACAGCTGGCTTCTAGATGGGGTGAAGAGATAGGAGGCCAGCACCACATACCCGTAATGAAATCAATCGAAGACAATGGCAATACTATAAATTGACATAAATTGACAGCAGCTACTTAGAGAACAGCATAATGGTGAGGCTTACAGGGGAAAGGATTGCTCAAATAAACAAACAACATACACTCCCACTCACTAACATGTAGAATATCCCCTGTTCGGAAAGTAGTCTTCCAAGGGACCATGCGATCCACTTTCATGTTGATGTGTTCGTCAGAGTGTAACTAGTACAAAAGGAAACAATTGCACAACCTGTCAGAACTTCGGTCAGTTTGCAACTGATGCCGAATGAAATGTGCATGATGGGAGAAAGCATGGTGCAGGCAAAAAATGAGAGAACAAAGGAATCCAACGGTTCCTCAACTTTCCGAAATACCTGAACAGGATGCCCCTCAATTCTGTTCTACAATTTTGTCAATGACCCTTACTCAGAAATGTCAAACAGCTGCAATCTCTTCCATGGATATGTTATATATAGTGTTTGCCTTTGTTTTTGGTCATCACTTGTGGGGTGGATCGAGGAACACACTCCTAAAGCAGTTTGTGGAATAGCCTACCAAACACTTTTGAGCTCAAACATCTTGTCTGAACGGTGCCAACGATACATGTGCTCGTACACATGCACAATTGGATACAGTAAATCTGGATAGGATGATTGCACAGGTTGTGAGTGTTTGATTGTTCTAGACTTTCAAACAACATGTAACAACATAATAAAATGAAAACAGAGTTTCGACGTTTCGGAACGCCTTTTCTCCCTTGAGCCAAAACACGTCAAGAGTCACGTGTCTGCAGTACCTATAGCGGAGTATATATGGGCTGTACATACAAACACTCCTCCTCTTGCAAAGCACTGTACTGCTGCGCAAGCTTAAAAGGAAACATGTGAAACTCTTCGCTGCTTAGCCACTTTCAGTTGTGGTAGTGGAGCTTGGCCAGGGACCTTACTCCAAAACATCTAACTGTCCTTTGCTTCGCTTGCTGAGAAGTGCATATTGCAGATCCTCCATAGTTTTGCGAAGCTGCACCCCAGGAACCGACTTGGTCAAAACATCGGCTTTGTTCTTGACACCTGGAACGTGGTGCACTTTCAAGTGGCCTTCGGCGACCCTTTCTTGCAACCATAGGTAGCGAGTCTGGATGTGTCTGGCTTTACCCAAACCCACTCGGTTCACAGTTCCTTTGGCTGCATTGGAATCGCCCTCGATGGTGACTCCCAAATCCAAACCAAGGTCTGCGCATAGGCTTTGGAGGCCTAAGCCCACAGATCCTCCCTTCACAAGTGCGTAGTATTCGCTCTCACCTGTAGAAAGGGCTACAGTGGATTGGATGTTACTACTGTGTTTCAACACGCGCATGCCGTACATAGCAACCATGCCAGTCGTGCTTTTGCGCGTCACAGCGTCACCACCATGGTCGGCATCTACCTGCACCCTCAGCCTTGAGGGTGTCTGTTGCGAGCCAAAACATTGCCCAACATCAGGGTATTTCTTCAAGTACCTGATGAGACGCTTCAAGTCAGCAAGTTTGGCTTCTGTTGGTGATACCATACCGCGAGCAAGGTTCTTGACTGCGTGTCTTAATATCAAGTCGATCTTGGGACAAGTACGCAGCACGCATCGTTGCTGAACGATACTTCGATGCCTCGCTCTTATCAAGCAGCGGACTGCGGCTTTCCAGCATCTGCTGATCTGCCGACTTCTTGACATCTGGTGATTCTACACCATTTGCCTTCTCCAGACCAAATGCCTGGATCAAAAGATCAACATGTCTCCGATCGGCTTCGATCACAATTGATCCTTTGCCGTTCTTCTTTTCAACTCGGATTAACCGATTCAGAAAATGAGCTTCTGTTCGGTCTCCATCCTCATCTCCAAGAATTCCGAGACATTTCAGCTCATAGGCATCTTTGAGGACTTGGCTGAGCTTCTCCAAGTGTTGGGCGTCTCCAAGCGCTAGGAAGTCATCTCCATGCACCATCACTCTGACGTCCCAAGCTTCTTGGTAGAAGACTGATGCATTTGACAAGCCTCTGCGGAAACCAGCCTTCTGCAGAGTCTCTGTGTAGTGCGTCTGCCAGATATTTGGAGCGTCCTGTGTTCCATACATTGACTTCACGAGTAGTCCACAGGTTTGCCCATCTTTGCTGGCTTCGTCCTCAGGCGGCAACTCTATGTAGATCTTTCTCTTTGGAGTTCTATAAAAGCGTGCTCGTGAGATGTCCCACAAGCCCAGCTTCAGCGGCTGGTTGTGGCAGGACTTTCTCTTTGTTGCCCACAACAAGCACAGCAGTCTCATCGCCTCCAATGGGGGCGTGCTGCTGAAAAGCAAGTTGGCTGGCAATTGTTCTTCTTTGGTCTTTCTTGCCTTTATCTCACGCACAACTAATCGGCTCCTATAGTTCGGGTTTGTTGGATCTCCCTTGTTGGTGTCCAACCATCTGACTGGAATCGGGGGCTTCCCCGTTTCCTCAAAACATTCGGCTCTCGGCCGGAGCACATAAACACCATGCTTTTCTTTCAAATAATCCATCTCAAGGCGTCTTGCCTCCTTCACTTTCTCGGCTGGCAAAATGCCGCCGTTCACATCATCCATGTAGACTTCTTCGAACTCAGGGTCCATCAGAGGCATCTCTGGAACTGGGCCTGCTGCAAACAGATCAAAGGTGTTCAACTCACCTTTCTCCGCTAGTGTGTCACGCAGGCTCCTCAGCACTGCCTTCACGAGCTGCGGTGGGTATACCGCTGCCTGCCTAGCAATGCCTCCGATCGATGGATGTGTGGTGCCATGGTCCTTTGCCCGATTCATTCGAGCAGACTCCTGCAAGACTCTGGCCAACCCTTCATCGTTGGTCGTCCAACCGGTCTCCTTTCTCACATAGCCGGTGCCTTGGAGTCCTCTTCGGTCAGTGGCCATCATTTGCCACCTACACATTGGACCTTTCACGACGAACACACCATCTTCTTTTGCTAAGGCCGCAACTTTCTCATCCTTCCAACTAGTTGCGGACCAAGGTGCCTCATGGAGGAATTTTCTTCCTGAGCGATGCTGCTTGACATACAGCTCTACGCTCGTATGAAGATGGTGGACGGCTTCGTCCATTTTCCTCCTCCGGACATCCGGTGCCATGCTTCTCCAGTTGAGGTTCTGGAGCTGCGAGAACATATGGCACGGAGGCGAAGCAGTCAAAAGAGCCGGTTCGTCCTTCTCAAGGATGTCGTGCACCTCTTGAACATCTTCGGACTTGTTCAAGTCCCAGTATGTTCCATCGCTTTTCATTTTATTCAAGTCGACCGCGAAACCCGGTCGCAACTTGTACCGCTCTGCAAGCGCGGTGAACCTCTTGGGCGAGTAGATTTCCATGACATCTACTGCTGACATCTGCATACTCAAATGCGCGATGTCTCCGATCTCTTGCTCAGAGATCTCGATGCCATTCGCCTCATAGGTTCCTTGAATGATCTTCTTCAGATGCTGCTTTGCGATCTCCTTCTCTTTTACCAAGCTTGCTGCATCTGGCTTCCACCCTACTGGTGGTGTTTCTGGAACATACGAAAACGTCTCAGTTTTCTTTGGACTCTCTTCCACTCTGGGATCAAGGTCTTCTACAGCGGTCTCTGCCGACCTCTTTGTTCCTTGAGCTGGATTCGGCTTGACCTTTGCCCCAGGTGGATCTATCCGAAGTTCTCCTGTTCTCTTCTTGGGCTCTGTTGCTACCTTGGCTTTCGCCACTGGCTTCTTCTCCATCTCGGCTGCTTGTCTCTTCATCTCATATCTCTCTTTCGGGTCATCGGGATAGGTCTTCTCACCCTCTGCCGCTGTTGGCGGCGGGCTTCCCGACCCTGCGCTCCTTGCTTCTTCTTTCTTCTCTGGTTCTCCGGCCGCGTCTTCGGCCGTGATGTCGGTGTCCTTGTCGGCCACGACTTTCGGCTTCACAGTGTCAAGCTGTTGCCGTTCTTTCCTCTTCTTTGCATGGGCTTCAAGTCTCGCTTGCCCAGCTTCATCCTTTTCCATTGCTTCGGTGATCCTTGCTCTGCACGTCTCTGTGTGCGGCAAGGTCGTCCTCTTGTCTTCCAAGATGCACTTGCATCCTGGGCAGCCTTCTGTGGCTCCATGCTTGCGCACATCCTCTCTCCTGATGTACACCCGCCTCTGCTGTGGTGGTGCCACTCGTTCCTCCTTGGGAGGTGGTACCACAAGGCGCTCTTCGAGCATCAGCTGCTCACCGGCAGGCCTTGCCGCGGAATGTTCCCACGGTAAGCCCCGCAAAAGGTCCCAATCACTTGGGCCCCAGCGGTCGGCTGAACTCAGCCGCCGGATTCCTGTGCCTCTTCGCACGCCATCGGCCGTCATCACCAAAATGGATCCTGTTCGGCCATGGTGTCCTACATAGCGTCCTTCTTTCAGGATGCGAACTCCCTCGCCTACTTCTCTAAAGTATAGGCGCTCACCAAAAGCTATGGCAGGTTTTCGCCATTGCTTTCCACATCTTCTGGCCTCAGGCGTTCTGCCATCTTGACCTTTCTTGTACCTGCTCAACAGGTCTCCCGCCTGTCTTGGCAGCCATGCCAATGCAGGATCATCATCTTTGAGCTCTTTGCCGAGCTTCTCTTCCAACGCGCTGCGGAGAACTCGTACTTGACGCTTGATCTCCTTGCAGGCGTTCTCTGCCAGACCATTTGCCTGATGGTCTCCTACTGGCGACTCTTCCGAAACCCAATCTATGCCGGTTTCTTTCGCCGCTGCCTCTTTCAAGGCTACCACGGGTGGCTCACCATCCGACGTTCTTCAAGAAGTTTGCCACGAACTTCACTGCATACGGCGTCGCTCCCTTCGAGTCCACGAAGGTCGCCGCTAAGGACTGTGTCCTCTCATCCTTCACCACGAGGATCGGCTTCACTCGCTCGTCCTCCACACCGCCCCGTGACATGAACGTGTAGTCCATTGCCACTGTGGGCACAAGGCTCTTGGCCTTCTCCTCTTCGGACCTCGTCCGATGTGGCTGTCCCACAGCCCGTCCAGCAATGCAATGCCGGCACCAACTTCGATACTGCACATGGCCTGTCGCCTCGTGCTCTTCGATCTCAGCCGGAGTTGGGTCCTCCGGTGCTCTTATCTGGATGGGTTTCTCAACCTCATCAACTAATTCCAACTCATCATCCTCTTCTCGCCCCTCTGGTTGGCCTGAATCCATAGAGGCATCTCCTCTTTCTCCTGTGGCGTTCAACTCTGCGATGCCACAGCATTCCTTTGTCGGTTTATACCCTGGCTTCCTCAAGTAGAAGTTGTACACTCCCTGTTCCTGATATACAGGGATACAACTCCGCTGCTCTGCAGCGTTCGCTTTCTCCAGGATCGCCTGGACAGCCTTTCCAACTTTGGACCCTTGCGGAATCAACCTTCCGCCATTTGCATCAAGAACTGCAATCCTTCCAAAGCCTAAGCACTTGGATGCTGAAATCAATGGCTTGTGAACATCAGCCATTGAACCTTTCACACGGCATTTGTTGCCGCTTTCGTCGAACCCTTCAAAGGTTCCAATGCCCTGACTGGGCACCAACTCTCCTGATGCAGTCTTGAATACAACTCCGTTGCCTTCACTGACAACCACTCGATCCTCCCAGCCATTCGGGCTGTCTGGGCTGCTCCAGTGTCCAGGTTAAACTTCATCCATTCTTCGGCGGATGAGGTGTCCGCCATTCCAATTCCGCTCAAGTCTGCCATGAGCATTCCGACATCAGCTTCCGGAGCTGACTCATTGCCATCATCCGGATCGTCCATCTCTTCCATACTTCCTGCGGCTTTGCCTTTGCCGCCTTTTCCACCTTTGCCTTTATTGCCTTTGCCACCTTTACCACTCTTGTCTCCTTTGCCTGAACCTGACCACTTATCGCCTTTTCCATCCGGCCGTTTCTTGCTCCAGCAATCGGCCGCTCGGTGTCCCTTCTTACCGCAATTGTAGCAGGTAATATCTTTAGCCGGGTTTGAGCCTTTACTTGAGCCCCCTTTGCTTGGGCCTTTCTTTCCATCACCTTTGGCCTGTTTACCTTTTCCTTTACCTTTTCCTTTAACCAGGCTTGCGATCCATTGTCCGATCGAATCGACGTCCATGGGTTGAGGTCCTTGATAACTCGAACTTGATGAACCTGGTTTTGGAACAGATGACTTTGATGTGAGGGATGTTTCAATGACAAGTTCAATCTCCTGTTTGATCAACGAATAGGTTGTCAATCTACTCTTGTTCAACAAAAGATGCTTTTCCAAATCTGGGGGTACCAGCATCTCCAACGAAGCGGACTTGATGTCGTCCGATAGGGTTTCCCTGATCCCTGCGGCACTCCTCCGAGACTCGTACCGCCTGATGAGCTCTTCGAGCTGTTCGATCGCTGGCCTCACCGCGGCCCATGTCTTGACTCTCTCCGGTTGGAGAATCGCTCGAAGTATATTGCGTTTCCGTCCCGAGGTTCGGGGATCCCAACGGCGGTGAACTCGCCGATATGCTTCAAACCCATTTGAAGCTCCTACCATCAAATCCTCTGTTTCACCTGAGGTCAGGGTCAGGAGGACGCGATGGATCTGATCAGCCTTATCCTCGAGGTCACCGATATCAGTCACGGTGCCAGTCCCAAATTCTTCTTCTATTTTAATAATCTCAATCGCGTCTTCCTGTTCCAAAAGGTACTCTAGGATTTCGATGAACTCTCTCCCAAAAGTAGTTATGAACAGGTTGTCGATGCTCCTGGCCCATTTTCGAAAATCCCCTTCAACATTCCCAAAACTCTCGGGGCGTCCCAAACCTTTGGTGTCCATAAGGATTTGGGTCTTCGCCTATCTTCTTTCTTCTCAAGGCTCTTAGCCAATTCTTCTACAGCTGAGGCTAGCATTGATACCCCGCCTTGAGACTCCCTCAACACTTGATTCTCTTGCTCCAACCTCGTTTGGTTCTGTTGGAGTTGAAGTACCATTTCACTCAGTTGTTGGATCTGTTGTTCCATGGTTTCCTACCCTCAACCCCTGCTGCTGCTGCCGCTCGCTCCTTTTCCAGCGGCAGTCGCGGGCGGTTCGCCCGGTCAAGGATCGGAAGGTTTTGGCACTCCACGGACTTCAACAGTAGTCCGTGTGAGTTCTTCCGGGCGACGACCTACAGTTGTGGCATTCGCTTTAGCCGCTACTTTTGGTGCGGCGGATGGCTTGGCCTTCCCTTTTGGTCCAGCCTTCGATTTGGCCTTCTCTTTCGGCCCAGGTGTCAGGCTCACTTTTGGCGCCGCTTTGGACTTGGCGCTCGATCCAAGAACGGCAGGTCCCTTAAGTCCTCGCCGTTTGATGTAGTCCTTCACCACCGGCAGCTGTGCCTGCCGCCGTTCGTCACAAGAACTACAGGCCTCGTTGGATCCTCTTTTTCCTTGTTCGTTGGGGGTCTTCCACAGTTCGCGAATGGCGGCCAATGCAACGGTGCCCTTGAGGTTCCGTTGCTCACAAAGTTCGTCGGCCGCAAACTTTCGCACTTGGAACGGGCTCTCTAATTTCCAATTTTCTATTGTCAATCGCTGGGCCCGTTCGTTGGCTAGGGCGACGATGCGGAGGTTCAACTCCAGTGCACGCCCCCAGACCGCCCGTCCCCGCTCGGTGTCGCGGGTTTGCGGTCGCTTAGCCGGCGGTGGCCCGTCCGGTGTTCGAGGCTGTCGAACCGGACTTGGATGGCTCACCGACTCTTCTTCTTCTTCTTCGACCTCCTCCTCCTCGGCTGGATCAGCCGCTTCTGAGGTCTTCCTTTTCTTGGTCCGCTTCTCCTGATTGCGGACCCTCTGCTCTTCCCGCTCTTCTTTGATCTCTTGCGGAGTGCGCCCTTTTCCGAACTCTTTGATGCGCCTCCTCAGATCCTCTGTGATGACACCCTTCTTCTTCTGCAACCTGACCAGGTCCTTGAGCCTCCGGTGCTGAAGCGAGGTCTTGCTTCGAAGTCGAAATCCGGATTGTGGCTCTGGATGCTTCTTGACCTGTCCCCAAATATTCTTCTTCACCCTCCAAGGTGCTTTGGGATCAACTTTGGCTGGGGTATATTTGGCGTGAATGCCACGAACCTCCCAACCTGTTTTGACACCTTCTGGGGATGTGATGAAGTCGGCGATCACTCGGCCAGACGATGGCTGTGCGGCTGGATCAGCCGCTTCAGCCTCTGGCTCTACTGTGGGGTCTTGTTCAGGCTTCTCTTCTTCTCCTCCTTCTGTCTCTTTTGTGGTCTCTTCTTCTTCCTTTGTTTCTGCGGTTCCTTCAACCGCTGATGTTGTTTCGGCAGTTTCTACAACCGCCGGAGTGGTGTTTGCGGCTGGTTCCGCCGCTGATGTGGCTGGCAAAGGCTCCTCCTCCTTTTCTTCCTTTCCACTCGGGGCGGCCGAATCGGCCGCTTCCGGGATTTCCTGATCCTCCTCCTCGGAGGTCTCTACCTTACTATGTCTCTCCTCCTTGATGCGCAGCGCTTGGTCCCTTTCGCTTTCACCGGGCTCACGCGCTACCATGAAAACAGAGTTTCGACGTTTCGGAACGCCTTTTCTCCCTTGAGCCAAAACACGTCAAGAGTCACGTGTCTGCAGTACCTATAGCGGAGTATATATGGGCTGTACATACAAACATAGAATAGTAATATATATATATAATCCTATCTGAGATGAATCCATCACCGAGGGATGGTGCGTAGCCATGTGAAGGTGGCCTTGATTACTGTCTTGGTAGGAGTTCATGTCTGCAGTGCACCATGTCGCGGAAACAGATCAAACCGGATTCTTCTGAATTCATATGAGTTCATGACATGCCTGTCATGCTTTGAACAACCTGTTAACCATCTAAGCTTCTCCTCTGCTTGGCTCCTAGGGGCTTCTTTTGTGGCTCCCAGGTTACGCCCCCGGACCCCGTGTGCCGTGCCGGGTGAACCGGCTCCTCGCCTCGCTGCTGCAGGGCACCACCACGGAGCCCAAGTTGTCCCGGAAGGGCTGCTCCGAGGACTTGAAGGGCCTCGGCCGCTGTCTGCGGAAGAAGTGAACGAAGACTGAGAGTCGCACCGAACACGAAACAAACAATATGGAAAACTGCTTACAGTGACAATACAAGCTTGTAGAATCAACACACCATATATCACCATGGCATATTCGTTTGAAGGTTTTTTTGCTTGTAGACCGAACCGAAGAGTCCGGTCGGTGGCTGGAGTAAGGCGGGAGACGGGGTGGTTCCACTGGGCCGAATCAAACAGAAAGGAACCACCCAACCGGGTGGTTCCAACCGGGGTGGTTCCACGGGGTGCTTCCAACCGGGTTGGTTGGTGGTTCCTCAGTTGTCTCAAGCCAACTCACCAAGTTTCCTCTTAATGCCTTTTTCTGTTGGTCTGCGGCAAAGTAGAGTTGATGCTTGGAACTACTGAGCTCTAGGATGTTCAAACGACATCGCTACGAAGTCTGCGCCAAGCTTCGTGCATCTCCTCAACTTTTCTCTGCAAAGATAACACAAGTGAAACGACTCATGATTGTATTCAAGAACTCATCTGCAATCATTTGGAGGATGTCATGGAAAGGTTTTGCGGAATTCTATTGTTGGCTCATGTTCAGGTGGTTCCCACAGCTCTGAATTAGCTCAGCCCATGTAGGACATGGTTTCTAATGTTTTGCTAAGAATTTAATCAAGAACATGTCAAAACAAAACATGTATAATCTCCACATGTACTTTGTGGAAGTTGAACATCTGCTCATATCTGCTCGTCATGGACAGGACAGGCTGGAGACTGGCAAATGCATGAGAGATGTGAGATCATGGTTTCTCAGCCAGTCTACCGTTGTCAGGATGCATTTTGCGTAAGTAGCTGGTTCAGTCTAACTCCCAAATTCTCAAAATAGCTGGAATGAAACAACGTGTTTCTCAATTCTATCGCATGTTAACAGTCTATAGATCTGCAAAGTAAAGTCCACAAGACTTTAAGATTGTTCAAGCGCGGACACTTCAGCGAATCCGAGATCCCAACATGTTCTTGGAGCTGCTGGCATGGAACACGCAGAGTTGACTTCCTGTCGCAGCGAGCTTTCACAGTGGTGGATGGATCAAATTCTGGAACTATCGTCACAACAGCGGGTCGCACTGACTTATCTTTCAAGGAACATTTTGCCAAACAAAGGCAAACTCGTCTTGCATGTTTGGCATCTTTGAGCAGTCCAACATGTTCCAAGACTGCGGGCTATATAGGCCACTGTGATACAATAAAGGTGTCCACAACGAGGATTCTCGTGTTTTCGGGACACGAGCCACACCATGCCCCACCCCAGCAGGTTAACGAGCCACGCCTTCGAAGGTGTTTGGAAACATCTGCATCAAGGTTTCTCGGCAGTGCTTTGCAATCTGCGACGAACGAAACGGATGGCGGCTGTGGAGACGAACGACGGCTGGTGGCTGGTGATGCTCCGGCAGAGAGGCACCAACCCCAAAGGACCAAACACTATTGGCGACTTGCTGTGGTGCGAAGAATATAATTCATGATATACGATATATCATCATGATAAACAAACTATAGTAACACATCTGCATCTCAATCTTCGGTGTCGAGAAAAAGATAATGAACACTCCCACTCTATCACAAACTGCATGCAACAAATGAAGTTCCTGCTCACCATGGGGCTCTTTCCTGGGACTCTGCTGATCCATGCAACTCCCCAGTCCCAAACTCACCCCATCCTGTAAACAGCGAAAGGGCAAACAAACCAAATCGGCAACAGAACACGATCGTCCCGAGGCAACTGATGCTTTGGAGAAAGGGCAAGCTTTGCCGTGCTTTGCCCATTCATGATTTCATTCAGCCGAAGCAGAATCCATGTCGACATACCACCACCACACAGGCAAACTCTTTCCGGCGCAGCCCTCCACTGTGACATCGCCAAATGACCAGCTTCCACTGTGGGAATGGCCTCCGACATCTGCCGGATCAGGGTCTGTGGGCCTTCCTTGCGATTCGCCACGATTCGCCCTCCGGGCACGGTGTCCGGTCCGGACGTCCATCTGGAGAATGCTTGGAAGCAACACCCTGCACGAGAAAGAGTAATGAACACTCTATCTATCTATATAGTAATCATATATTGGTCATGTAGAATAGTAATTCTACATGTTGAACATGTTTTGAGGAAATAGGTGCAAGAGAGCAAATAGAGAACAGCGAATTCCTGGAACTTCTTCTTGGGCAAAAACTTATGCCTAGTATTAAAGGTGCCTTGTCCGGATTTAGGCATTATTCTTTTGGGGGGGGAATGTTCAAATATGTTCAAATAGTGATGAGCATCCACAACCAGGGGCCCTGGGGCTCGAAGTACAGTGTTTTTGAGGAAAGCCTTTTATGCTGAACTTTTGAATCATTTTTGCCTGCTATTATTTGTCTATGCTCACGTGTTTGTATCTGCGTACCACCCCCCCAGCAGTTCAATCAGTCGCTTGGAGAAAGGAATCGTAGCACCAGGATACCGACTGCTTGACCTACCTGGTGTCAGTCGTTCGTGGTAAAAGCCGGTGCTCCAGGTTGAAGTTATTAAAACCTACCTGCTTTCCTTCATAATAGCGATGGCCTCCAACTGGCGATGGCCTCCAACCTACTAGCGATGGCCTCCAACTGACCGGAGGAGCCAATTACTTTGGACCAGAGACATGGTGGCTCATGTGGCGGCGGAATTTGTGTCCGAAAACCTCGATGCCATGGTGAAGTGGAGCTTTTGGATGCATGTGGAGGCTTATCCTTTGGGCGAAACCCGGTTAGAACTGTCGGCCGACATTTAGTCGGGCAAAGATTCTTGCCTAACATTACCTAACAAGGGTCTAGGCATATCACGTGAACATTGATGATGCCCGAGTCAATCTGCCTTCAATTAAGGTAATTAAGGACCAACACTGCAGTGGTGCTCTTGCTTTCCAAGATTCTTTACGCGGAATCTTTTAGCGCTACTTTACGTAATCCAGCACTTCGCGGGATGCATGGCCGGACTTCTTGCCAGCCCATCAATCTCTGCTATACTACATTCAGATCATGCAGCACAATGTGGTCATTCACGAGTTTTCGCCGACGATTGACCGCCAGCGATGCCAAAATCCATCATCTTCAGGCTGTACCTGGAGCTGGGAGTCCTATTTGAAACAAGCCGAGTGGAAATAGCAAGACAGGCACACACGCCCAGCAAACGATGTCCAAAACAGCTCACGCCGTTGTGGAGTCTGTTCTCGGGTCTTCTGTTCTCAGGCCCTATTAAGCGCTAGATCGTGCTGTGGGCGGTGCGGTGCAATCTCTGCAGAATACTGTGAAAGCGAATCCCTTCAACTGTAGAAAGGCAAAACAAGTTGCTGGCTTTCAGGATTAATAAAGTTTTTCTGGATGCAGGTGCGCAGAACTGCCTTTCAAAGATGGATTGTATGTATCATTTTGGCCCTGAGCCAACTGTCTTCAGAACATAGTTGGATGATCTTTGATGTATATTATATAATAATATATAATATATATATATATATGTGTGGGCTCTGCGCAACCAAAATCTTTTGATGTCTCTGATACGTCTAATACGTCTCTCACAATGTCGCGACTGAGAGGGCATGCAGCCAAAAAAATAAGTGTTCATGCTGTGTGCTCTTGAACAAGTACTGTAATCATCTTAACTCAGGAAAAAGAAGGATCCCTCTTCATATCTTCGTGATACATGGACGCGCGCCCAGTCTTGCTGCACCACGGTCAAGCTTCTGTCAAAGCTCGAAAAAAGAGTCAAACACTTAGATCCTCCCAAAAGCATCTCCAAGAACAAAATAAGAATGCATATTGAAAATATCATCGCTGCTGTGCGCTTCTGGAAGGACCTGATTTGTTGGGCGCTGCCCAGTAGCTTGCAGCTACAACGCATCGATATCGGAAGACAAAAAATATCACAAAATCGCAATTACAGAGTCTCAGCAGCTGGCGATTCACTGTTGTAAGCATTCAACGCAACCTTCTCCCATACCTACAGGTCGAAGGACCCAGTATAAAACCTGGTTTGGTCTGGATGTCTTTGGAGGATCGTCTCCTCTACGGAATGGGTAACAAAGAAAGAATACATGTATTCCTCGTCTCCTGGCGCCAACTGCTTGAAAAAGTTCCTTCAAGCTCCCCACGTGCATCACACGACTATCGAGGTTTCCATTTCATACCCACATCCTTCACCAACGCCACGCGGTAGCCCCTGGCCGAGTGTGAAACATGCCGGACCCTAAAAGAGCAATGGGGGCAAATGATCTTAACATAAGTTCTTGACATGCAGGTTCTTTGGGTATATACATCCACTATCATCCACAAGTTTTCAAGTGTTTTGTTGGATGGTTGACCCAGGCTGGGTCGTTGACTAACTCTTCCCTCTAGCAAACTGGTCACTGATATCTTCTACATTGATTCATTGATGGATGATGCATGAAATACCGTGGGATAGCCTCGGATCAGAAGGCACAAACGTGGATCAATGGATCGTGCATGATCATGGATACCGTGGCCATTGGATCACGCATGCGCTCACATCACCCAAAACTGGCAGCCTTCCGGTGGTGGGCGTGACACGAAACCTCGCACAGCGTCGCACAGAACGCAAGAAACGTGACACCAAACCGTCATCCGGGTTGGCAAAACTTCTTCGCTCTCCTAAGGTTAAAGTAACAACATCAACAAATGGACATGTACCTTAAAGAAGTGAAGCATTGAAGGCTGAATGGTTCTTCGCATCTTCTTACCATGGTTCGGAACCCACTCATTCAGGGCGAACGTTCGCTGGCAATTTGCTGAGGCCGAGTCTTGTCTGGCCGCGATTCCAAAAACTCCCTGACCGCGGTGCGCTGAAGGCTGAGCATCGCGGCACGATGTGCGACTGATTCGGGTCTCGACCCACCTGGAGCACCGGTCCTCCAGGTAGCCAACGACCGACACGTCAGTAGGTCAACCGTTTGGTACGCTGGTGTCGGTCACCCACAGCCATTTCAAGACATTTCAGCAGCATATCATTGTTCTCACCAGGTAATTGCCTGCCGAAATTCGAGTTCGAGCTCCACATTTCTTCATGTGTATTGCCAAAGAAAGGATGAATCACGAAAAACACACCGGTTCACAGGCTGTTCTGAGCCTGTCTCGAACTCCGCTGTGTCTCTCAACGAAACGGCCACCGGGCCGCGGAACTCGTGTGTCCCAACTCGGTCCCGACTGCCTCACAGTCCCAAAGGTGGAGCTGAAACGTTCCTGGAAGGTCGGTGGAACCGGTGGAACCGGAAGGACGTGTCCGCATTGGTCCAAGAACACATGCAATGGTGCGGCAGCGTGTGTGTTGTGTGTGGTGTGTTGTGTGTTGCACAAACAAGATGTCGCAACTAGTCTGAAGATGTCTGAAGATGTCGCAACTAGCACTCGGACATCGACCAACCAAAAACATCGGCGGTTTGGCAGCATCTCCTGCCATCGATCGACCCAAATGAAGCCCTTGTTTTCTGGCCTCAAAGCAAGAATATATCATTTTCACACTGTGATATAGTATATTGTATACCAAACTTGCTACACGGTTCCTCCAAAGAACCTGGACACCTTTGGTAACCAGAAAGGGCTGGCAGGCAACAACTCAATACATAGTGAACAACAAACGTTCAAAGGATCGTGATTGCGTCAGTTCCGAGCACACCCATGTTCCTTGCTATTCATTTGCAAGTACAGCGCACGGGGGCCAACATAGGATCCAAAGTGGTTGGAATAACATGACATGATGGCCCTGCACGGTTGATTACGCATGATAGACAAGAGGTGGTGTGTGCACCATGTATTACTAAAAAAATAATATATATATATATATTATATAAATATATAAATGTGTTAAGAAACTGCCTTAAACAAGAAAGTAGACTCTAGTTTTTGGGAAAATATCTTTTTTCTAGACTCTGTTTTTGTCAAAAAAGTCGGTTCTTTTTGAACACGTACTAAGTTCTAATTTAAAGGGCCCTGCCACAGCTTAAAAGTTACGATGTTTTGATACCGGGCCGTGAACAGCTCAATCGAAGGGCCACAGCCTTCCAAACAGTTCGGAAAAAGGAAAGTTCCAACCTCTCTCCAGGATCTACAGGATAATGAAGGCTCGTTTTTAATTAGGTACCATTGTGGTCGTAATTCGGTGCGTCCAATACTACTCAATTGCGGACGTAGTGGTACCCAATTAAAAACTCCTCTTCGTGACACCAAAAGTCTGAGATGAGGGGAGGGAGGGAGGGCTCAAAATAGAAGGCTCCGATGGGACTTCTAAAGGGTTTCAGACCAGGTTCAGACCACCTTGGGCACTCGATGGGATACGGGTCGAAGAAGTCAAAGACCATGCGCA